CTATTTCCTGTTGATGCACCAGGATGTAAAACGATTGTACAAACATTGTTTATGGAGGATGACGAGTTGTTGCCTGTTACAGATTTTGAAGACGTCCTTGTGACCGTTTTTTTCCTGCTGAGAAAAAACCCCAAAGCCGAGTTCTGGACGACGTACCAAGTACGAAGGTACGACTGCTCCTCTGTGGGCGTTTGAGTCTGTGGACGAAAACCTTCATCGCTCTGATCACCACACGAGCCTCAGACCCAGTCTGTGTGATGTCAGTGATCAGAAAGTGGCATGAGATTTAAAAATGTTCTTTTAAAAATGATTATGATAATTCAAAACTACCATTTGAATCATTTTAATGTATTTAGATATTTTAAATAATTTGTTCTTCCACTGCCCACCAGGGGGCAGCAGCTCAGGAATCACTGACGTAAACAATCACATTTTTCATTTTCATCTTTACACTACTTCTGTAGTGTAACACAGTCACGTAAGGAGCTCACGCTAACACCCAAAATGTGATCTTATTCATAATAATGTGCGCTCCAGGAACATCCTTCATTACACCAACAAAAATGACCTTATTTACTCTTTTTTTATTCTTTTTAGTCCATTTTGAAAATATATTTCATTAAATGTGCAAAATGACATGAAGTCACCGGACTAATTGTACGTAATCATGAAAATAAACACTCGGTTGCAGTTATTTAGTGTTTTGTGTTGAAAAAGTCCTATTTTGGTTAAGAAGGAGCCAAAGGCGCCGTCACAAAGTCAGACACGTAGCCTGAGGGTTCGATACCGGATCTCTTCTCCAACTGATGACAAACAGCTGCAGCAAACAGAGGTCACAGCTTCTTCTTCGTGTGTTTCAGCGCCGACTGGTCGATCGAGGTGCTGCTGCACAGGTGGAACCTGAGCTGCATCGAGGTTCAGCTCGACCAGTTTGATGCCGACACACCTGAGCTGGCCGGGTCGAATCTGCCCGGCAACCACAGCATCCAGATGATGAAAATCACCCTGAAGACGGAGGATGCTGGACAGAAGGCCGTCCACAGAGCTTCACCATAACCTCAACCACACCAGCAGCACCCAGGCTAACCAGTGACTCATGGTGTCTGGTCAGAGCTGCTTTTCCAGTCCTGACAAGCTGAAGCTGGAGGCTGTGCTTCCTGCTGTGAGCAGCAGAGGGCAGCGTTTCACCGAACTTGACACCTGAGGTCACAGTGATTAAACTTCCTCGTAAGCGAGCGTTCCTGTGTGTGGTTTCTTTGTCTTATTCATGAGTTTAACTCTAAATTCACACATTTGTAGTGCAGCAGCTGGTTTTGCAGTTTACACACACGTGTGTGGATGATTCTGGTGGATTTCTTAATCGAACCCTCACTGATACAGATGTGGAGTCCAGGCCTCACACTCTTGTTTGCTGTGAGCTAACGTTCACACAAAAGCACATTTTAATGTCTCGCACTGTGCCTGACTGTACGTCTATATTCAAACCACATGTGATCCGCACATATATGTTGTATGATAATAAAATGATGATGTTTTGGATTTTCTGTCCAAACCAGAATGAAAACATGTCAGTTAATCTGTAAACTGCTGAGACGATGTTCACTCACCTGACTGCACGCTAACCCAGAGCCGTGTCAGCAGCTCACAGTCACACTTTAGCTATTACACCAAACTGGAGCTAAATGAGGAAGACTGCAGCCCTTCACAACCAAACAAGTTAATCTGCAGCAATGCTGTGCTGGTCTGTTGAACAGAGAGCTTGCTGTTCATCTACGTTCACCTTTGGTCACAGACACAGTGACCGAAAGGCCGTCTGAGACGGGATGAGGGGGTTTGGGAGGGACAGAGCAGCACCACTGCTCCTCCATATCAGCAGAAAGGTGTGTGACCTGAGCAGAGAGAGCACAACAACCTGGAGTCACTGAATTAACCAGACCCTGATTTCTCCATCAGCCTGTTTTATACCACATCAGTGTCCATAGCAACCACTTAGCAACCACATTTCCTGTCTCCACATCTCTGATCTCGGTCCATCTATGACATGTCCCACTGTCTGTCTGCATGTTCACATGTTTGCTGCTCAAAGGCACAAGGTCAGGACTTCCTGTACAAGTTCAGGCACAAAATCCAAAGCAGAGCTGGTTCTTAATACAACACAATAACAACAAAAGTCATCATTTAGACTGTTTACCAAACTCCTCAGCACGAGCCTGTGGGTTCACATCAGGACAGATGT